AGAATTTCCACCACATACCACTTTCTTATGTTCTGACATAGGTCTGATGCTCTGTCCCACCCAATTGTGTCCTGCCATGATGGTGCATTGCTGGTTGCATACTTTTCTTGTTTATTTATGTGAATGTAATAATACATATCTTGTCCCTGTGATTCCCCTTTTTCCCCTTCATGCAACAATTTTTGACTTAATATTTGCCTACAGCATAATACGAAAGACCAATTTCACATTTCTAGCTATGGATTTTTGGCTCTAAGTTGCTATGTCAGCCAGTCAGTAGGCAAGTAGCTAAAGGATAAGTGGACAAGTCTGCTAGCCGATCCGGGTATGTTCACTTTTAAATATATACATAAAACAAATACATATTCCAAAACACTTACTGAGCAACTGTTTGAGACTGAGGGGCTGCGAATACATCTGCAAGTTTCAGAGCACTCATAGCATCATACACTATTTCCAAAGGACGAGATGAAACTTGAACACGTTGATCGCACTTTCCATCCAGAGGATTTAATTCAAACAGTACATCCAATAACTTTATGCCAGGATCCAATGTTTGAAAAGACACCATGTGGGGAATTATATTTCCTTGCTTTAGGCCCCAGACACCAATAGATCCAACTGTTGTTACTACTCTGAAACCAAAATTGAAATTAGAAATGTTGAATCAAATTATATTTCTTCACGAACAGTGAGTGTCAATTCATACTGTGAGCAATGAGAACAGTGTGAATTATTACATGTCCATTAACTGCTTTTTGTTTTTAATTTTGCACTTTTAACTTACACAACTGCTGCATATTTACATGCCCATGTAAGAAAATGTATTGACATTATTCAAATCGATTGTTAGCAAACCATACCTACACAGTTTTGCGACAAAATTGACATCTGTCTGTGATCATCACTAACGCCATTCAGACATTTTTCTCTACAATTAGTATTCCCTAATTGATTCTGAATGAACTCACGGCTCTGTAAATTCGAAAAAAATTTGATTTTTGAAGTGTACTTTACAATTACATAAAATCTCAACATTTTAAAATTTCTTCAAAAATAACTCACCATTTCTTGATTAAACTTAAGTCTTCAGAAAGCATGAATGACGCTCCGAAGTAAGTGTCCCAGTCTCATTTTCGTTACAAAGCACGTGTTCTTTCGTTACAAAGCACGTGTTCTTTCGTTACAAAGCACGTGTTCTTTCGTTACAAAGCACGTGTTCGTCCGTCAAAAACTTCTGCTCGGTCCGTCAAAAACTTCTGCTCGGTCCGTCAAAAACTTCTGCTCGGT